TAATTGGGAATTGCAATCTCTTAAATTGAAATGGCATATCCGTTGGAATCATAGGAATGCGAGGAATGAGGACATCTTCACCTTTGAAAGGTCCTGTCAAGACTGTTGCTTCTACGACGTTGCTCATTAAAGCATGTTTTTATGCTTTAAAGAGCATGTTTTTACCTGTCACAGGTGTGACATCTATATAATAGTAGGTATATAAAAACACGCACGTATTCGAATGCAACGTTGTGTCAAAATTTCAAAGCAATCGGTGAAGAACTTTCGGAGATTTAAGATTTTGAACAAACGAACATTTACATTTTTATTTATATAGATGAGCATAAAACTGTAATCTTGACTAATACACAGTTCAAGATGGTATGTCAGATTCATGTTTGACACTGATTTCATTTAAGGATAAACTATGTATCACAAACATAATACTGCACAGTCCTTATTAATTTAAGAGTTTTTGAATAAAAACAAATTAAATTTGTTGTATAACACGAACAAAGTTAGACTGCATTGTTTCCCCCCTACTGAGGATTATACCATTCATAAATAATAACTTGGTAGCAGCACTAATAAGCTACCAGTTTGGTCTAGAGGTGAAGGTACCAGGCTAGAAACCAGGAGATTGTGAGTTCTAGTTCTGCCTTAGGCATGAAAGTTGTCTGGGTGACTTTGGGCCAATCACCCTCTCTCAGCCCAACCCATCTCATAGGGTTATTGTTGCATGGAAAACAGGAAGCGGGAAGAATATTGGGCATGTTTGTCATCTTGACCTATTTATAAAAATAACAAAGGAGGGATACAAATAAATAAATAAATAAGTACCTCAGACTAATGGAGGAAAGAACCTAAACCAGCAATGAGCAGGGCCCAGACAAAAAATGCCAATAGTCTGCTTCCTTCCAAACAACCTGAACAGGGCTGGCTGCATATAGAAGATTTTTGAAAACAAGCCAAACTCCTCGTGCCCCAGTTTTTAACTTAGATGGGAAGGATGGTTGAAGAAATCCTCATAATGGGAGCTCTGGAAAATGCAGGTATGTGATTGCCTTTCTCTAATGGGGGGTGGTTGGTGGTGATGATGTTTTTAATGTGCCTATTTCTGTACAGAAACTGAGTAACTGCATTCTGAAACTGTCAAGTAAACTGATGGTTTTGACAGGCACAAGGGGACATTTGGAACTTTTGGCATTCTAGGAAAATGTGGGAGGCGTTTTTTTTTTTTTTTAGTTTATAGCATCTAAGAAGCCGTCAAAAGAAAAATGCATTGTTATTCCTCCTTCCCGTGCCTGAACGGTTTTACATATTAGGGCTTTTAAATATGTGTGAACTTTGCAAGAATTACTGTTTTTAATTCAGCGAACTGATATAGTAATTTAGGTAGGGTGCATACAGATGGTTAAACCCACCATATTCTCCTAAGCTGTACTTTATGCTGCCTGGCTGCAGTCAAAATATCAAGTGGAAGTTTATTTTTCTGGAGCATGTTTTATGCCCTTATTTAAGCATAATCCAAACATATGTTGCAATTTATGTGATCACATAATGGCTCTGCATATGTTGCTCTACAAGCAAAGAACAGAACTATACCCTTTTCACATATTGCCCATTTTCAAACTTCTGCATTAACAAGCATCTTAGTATTAGCAAAGAAAGAGGAGGAGGAGGAGAAGAGCAGGGGTGGAAGTAAGTTACCTCTCAGCGCTATCCGAAAGGGTAGGTGATGTTTCCAAAGGTTGTCAATTTGCAGACTTGTAAAAACGGTAAAGGTTTCCCTTGCCCAGGGGTAGACAACCTTGGCTCTTTTATGACTCATGGACTTCAACTGGCTGGCTGAGAAATTCTGGGAGTTGAAGTCCACAAGTCATAAAAGAGCCAAGGTTGCCTACCCCTGCCCTTGCCAGTCGTGTCCGACTCTAGGGGGCGCTGGTCATCTCCGATTCACAGCCGACGAGCCAGCGTTGTCTACGATCATGTGACCAGCATGATTACACGCCAAAGGTGCACAAAATGCTGTTGCTTTCCCACCAAAGTGGTACCTATTTTTCTACTTGCATTTATATGCTTTCAACTGCTAAGTTGGCAAAAGCTGGGGCAAGTAAAGGAAGCTCACTCCATCACATGGTACTTAGGTCTCAAACTGCCAACAAGCCCAGCATCTACTCTTTTATTTTGTACCTACTGGCTGAGTGGCAAGTATGAGAGCAGGGTGTGGAAATCCAGGTTGAAGACCACTCTCAGCCTCAGAAACTCATTTGGGTCAGCCATTCACTCTCAACTCAAACTACTGCACGGGAGAAGAGGAGGAATTCCTACCTGCTCTGCTTTGAACTCCTGAAGGAAAGTATAAATGTAACAAGGAAATAAATACCCATAAGTATTTTTTAAACAGATGCTTATTGTCATGAAAGTTAAACACTTTACTGGCTATTAAATCCTCACTATTGTTGACAACACGAAAGGGAGATCTAAAAAAGGATAAAACTAGCTTGTTGTCAAAATGTACGTTGAAAAGATGTTTATTTTTGTCCACGGAAGTGATTTCAACGTTTCACATGGCAGAAACTTAACTCATATTTTTGTGCTGGGTGGGGAGAGGATGTGTACTGATCCATTTAACAGCAGCAGGTGCACATTTTTCTAGCCTTTACGTTGTCTATTTATTGTTGTAATGAAACTTTGAGCACTGGACAACTCTGACATAAATATTTAGAAAGAAACAATAAACATATTTCATGTTTCGCTACAGTCATTCCACAAACACTCTGCAGCAATAACTTTCAAGATATTTTGTACAATGAATTAGCAATAGCACTTAGGCTTACTGTATATACCGCTTCACAGTGCCTTACAGCCCTTTCTAAATGGTTTATAGAGTCAGTACATTTTCCCCAACAATCTGTGTCCTCGTTTTACCAACCTCGGAAGGATGGAAGGCCGGGTCAACCTTGAGCCAGTCGGGATCGAACTCCTGGAAGTCAGCAGAATTAGCCTGCAATACTGCATTCTAACCACTGAGCCACCACGGCTCTTAAAATTAATTAATGCGAAGTACAACAAAGAAATCTATCACTTAAAAAGACTGCAGTGATGACAAGTCCAACAAACCACTTTCCCTCCAAAAATGAAGGCCTTGATAAGCATCCTGAACTGTTTTTATTTTTATTTGATTTTAAAAATGAAGCTGAAGTTTTTCACGTTTCAAAGTAAGGTTCTGACTTCTAGCCCCACCCTGCCTATAAGGACCTCCAAAGCATCCTTAGAAAATAAAATGGGTGTAGAACAACATCTCAGCACTTACTTTTGGTATATGCTACCCTTCCAGGAAACAACAACAGAGTAAACTGGGAGACGGTGGAGAGAGTCTGGAAATTTCAGAGGAGCACAGCAAGGACAATGCTTTGCCTGTGAGGTGGCTTTTACATACTTTATCCCTTTTTGACAGCGTATGGTGTGTGCTTATGTTTTTACAAGGCGTGCGTGTTTTGCTTGATGGGTATGGCCCCATTATTTGTGAATTCTTGCTTATGATAAAGATTAAATGCAAAATAATATGTAGGTAGGCTACCTGCAAATGTCAGCAGATGAATCAAACATAATAAAAAAATAGCATTAAACTTCCATTCCTGGTAGATAATGCAGCTTGTGTACAGTACAACTAAGCCAGCAAAGAATGTTATTGCCTAGACTGCTTTTTTCTGATACAGTGGTACCTCAGTACTCATTGTTAATTGGTTCCAGGAGGAGTAATACTTACCAAAAACGATGAGTACCAAACAAATTTTTCCCATAAGGAATAATGTAGTGAATCACAAGGCAGCCGACATAGTCAAGGTCTAGCTTGTGTGTTGAGTGCCAACCAATGATGAGTACCTGGACAAAATTTTATGGTTTCTCAGAGAAATTTTAATGTACTAGGAAAGATAGCTTCCTATTTCTGGCTTCCTTGCCACTCTTTTTTTCTTCTGAAAAAAATCTCTTTGGAAGCCAGGGAAGCTCCTGAATAAGGGAGGAGGGATATAAACAGGTAGTAGAAACTGGGAAAATAAGCTAAGGTCTTTTGAAACTTCCCAAGCTCCCATGAGACTGGGGTACTTGATTCAGGTTTCAGTAACTGTAACACTTGGGTACACTTGTCTGGACTCAGAAGTTAAATGAGATTAGTACTTGGTTGGAAATACTCTCAGGAAATATCAGGACTATTAAAATACTTTGGAAAAATCCAAACGTATTTAGATTAATGGCAAGCTACATTAATATACAGAAATACAGTGTTAAGTATATTGACAAAGTGTTTTGGGGTCTACTGCAGCACAATTCATTAATTTTTAAATTAGCATTTAAATTTATTTCTAAAAGAAACAGTTTTGTTTTATGCTCTTCAAGAAACTCTTTTATCATAAGGTTCCCACTTTATAAATATATCCTGTCATGCACTATTACAATTCCAAGAGCTTCTCAAAGCTGGCAATAATACTTGAATGAATTTCAGGAATTCATTAAAAAAAAACAAACTAGATTTTTTTTTAAAGAAAAAGTAGAGTGTTCCCAATTTGTTAATCAAAGAATTGGGAATTTGACTGATTTATCCCATTACCAAAGAGTCTTTAAAGCCATGAAGGTATCTGGTATCAATCGTTTTTACGTAGCAATCTGCCATGAGGAAGAAGGAGATCTCTGATCATAATATTTACAATAGAAGAGAATGTATGTAGCTCAGACATGAACTTTGGGGTCCTTGGTTGTTTTCTTACATGAAAAATAACCAAGCTCGGAGAGCACTAAAGGCCCCACACATAGTATCGCAAAAACATAATTTTCAAAACTTATAATTTTCTCTTCTGACTCGGATAACAATGGATTAATTTACAGACGAATTACATGTTCTTGTGTGTACTTACCCAAAATATCAAGCTGCCGAAGATTTGTACAGTTTGCAGCAAGTTCTTCAATGTCAGAATCACACACAGACCGGTTAGCTGTCAGAAAAAGCTTTTGCAAATTTGGTAATTTTCGGGCAAGTTTTGCAAAGCATCCTGTGCTGCTCTGGAGAGTCGGGCACCAGCCAAGATCAAGCTCCTCCAACAGTGGACAGCCAGCAGCCAGCTCTGCTAATCCATTTTCAGAAATGTTTTTACATCGCCATAAATCCAATGTTCGAAGTTTTTTGCATTTGGCTCCCATCATGCTAGCTATTGTGTCATAGTCCTCAATCTGTCAAATTAGAAATTATTTTTTAAAACCAAATGGTGTTACCTGCTCTCACTGTAGATTTCTAATAATATCTATACTTTGTCGAGCCTATAGACCCATAAGGAACCTAAGTATCAATTATTTAAGAAGCCTTCATGACCTTGTAGTCAAGAAACCATTTCTGTTCAACGTTCATTACCTAAATAACCATTTTTGGCACAAAATTCCGTCTAACGTCTAACATACCATGATATTTTTAAGCCTCTGTGCTTAAAAATAAACACAATAAAATAAACAATTCCGACGGATTTCTTTAAATGATTGCTCTAGAGTTCGTCTGCTGAAAAAGTCCTGCTTGAAGTCTTGATCCTCATATTTTTAGTGATCACTGGACTTGAAGAACAATTCCAAAATAGGAACTTTATCTGGAGAAAAGTTATTTCTTATTTAATCATCAAAAAGCATTTTAAACTGAAGTCACAAGCATACTGGCTAAAGAGTTAAATTTGCATCAATGTATAAATGTAATATGATGCAGACTGACTTTACTCTTACTTTGAAACTAAATAGTCTCGTTTTGAACTAATGGAAGTTTATAGACTGTCCGATAACAGAACTAGTATTATTTAGAGTAAAAAAAAGTAAACTAATATGTGGGATGATTATAGAATAAATTATTAAACTCAATCCTTGGATCTTTTTTCCCCAAGGGATGAAAAAAACATTATTTATTAAATTTATTTGCCACTCATCTTCACAAGGCAACTCAGGAAACAGCAGGAAAACATCAATAGATCAGAATTATACACCACAGTAGATATTAAAAAGTAATATTTGTAGAAACAAGTTCTATTTCTTATCTATATCAGGTTTTAAGACATGCTAGTATTTATGCAGAGGAAACAGTATACTAAAGTGATGTGTAAACTACCATATTTATATGCAGAATTCCTGCATGTAAACAACATGATGTGTGAAAACCTTTTCATAGATTTGAATTTACATAGCTATACACCATTGTTTATGTAAGCCAAATTTCAAACAAAGGAAGATATTTTTCTGTTTTTCACTTCTTCTGTGGTTATAGATCTCAAATAAACATTCATTTATATATTCTATAATGGAATTATGTATATTCTATTCTATTATGTAAATTCTATTTTGTAAATTCTATTATGTAAATTCTATAATATAGAATTTTATATTAATTCTATAATTTATTTACATCAACAAAGTCAATCCTTGACCCAGTTCAGGAATTATTTTCTCCTTCAAATGAACTGGGTTGAAAATGGAGCCTTAAACTCAAAACTCACAATTTTTCTTACCGGAAGGTTTCATAAACAGACAGTAACTGTACATGATTTATGGGGAGAATGGGGAATAGGGTCGAGTTCCTAATTTCAATCATTCGTGTGACACAAGTAAAATGATCAGCCCAAGTTAACAGATGTAAATAAGAGTAATTTTCAAGCACATATTTACACCTTTAATCAGTTATAGGTGTATTTGTATTCGTGTTGAAATAATTTTTTAAAAGTGTTAATTTTTAATTTAAAGACTTTAAATTTATTTTTTTTAATATTTTTTTTGGGGAGGGGGGGAGGAGGTGGAACCAAGCTAGTAAATTTGGGCAGCATCTCCACCAACTTTAAGAACTTACCCTCACACAGCTTCCCAGGCTGAGGTGCTGAAGTTCTAAACAGAAGTTCAGAATGCTGAGCAGTGCTGTTTGCTGTCATAAGGGAACACATCAGAAGCAAATATAGAAAGCAAACATAAAGAGGAAGGGTCAATTAGACATTAAAGGCTGTCATCACTTTCTCCCAAATCCAGCTCAAAACCTAGGAAACAGACACCACAAATACCATTTAATGAGTCCCCAGATGCTCTAACCATTGATTGGCTTATAGTCAAGGTAATCATTACAACCCTTTATATAATAAGTCACTGTGGATATGGTTTTGCATGCCCTGAAGACACCTTTATTCCCATGACCTATCAGCTCTTTTCCCTCAGGAGAACTCTCAGAAGTCTGGTAAGTTCAAACAACAAGCAAGGCCAAACCAAAAACACAGAGGGCTGGTGACATCCTGAAAAAGGAGACCATCTCTTGACATTCAGTGATCAGCTACAGCCTGATGGAACTGCCAATAGAGTCACACAGCATCAGGATTGAGTTGGTGACTTTAATGTCACAGGATGGTCTTGCTGACAAGGATGCTGACAACCATTGAGCACCTGTCACAAGCAACATGCAGATGGAAACAAATATAACGTGCACTAATGTAAGTACAACAACGGTAAAATTCGTACAAGCGTCATTTCACGGTGGAGTAATTTGTTTTCACTTTGTCTGAGGTTGTCTTATAGTCTACGTGAAACTTTTTACCGATAAGAAAGCTTAAATACCTATTGAAAATGTGGGTCCGTAAGTATGACAGGTTTGAGTTTAATCATTAAGTAGAAAAGAATTTGTCAAAACTTTCTTTCCAATTATTTTTTTAGATTTTATAATTCTTAATTTACAAAAACTGACAGGAAAAGAGTAACAGAAAGACAATTATGAATGCAGTAAAAAATTATAATGCAGTAAAATTATAATGCAGTAAAAATTTCAAACCTGTGATCTTTCAATGTAATTTTACAAGTTGTATATATTCATTTGATTTAAGTCTTTACAAAAGCTCAAACATGCCCTTTCAAGATTTTTACTGAACAAAATATTACATGAAAGACTATTGTTATAAAAACTGATTAAGTTTCATAACTTTATCTGGTGTTCCAGTTTTAAACAGTTCAGTTAGTCTACCTGTTGCAATACAATATTTAACATGAATAAACAGGTAACTTTTTCATTAAGTAGAAAACTTGGTAATAGTTTTTAGCCCTTTGTTATTTCTAAAGCACATACTATATTTTTGTAGTCAAATATAATTTCCATAGTCTCTTCAATACTGAGGTCTTTGTAAATTATTATAAATCATTATTACTTAATTGGATTTACTGTAATATTAGATAGGATGTGTAATTAGATTTAATCTCTAGCAAAGATTTCTACAAAATTACAATGGGAAAAGTAAAAAGAGCAGCAAAGGTAAAATCCAATGATTAAAAGAATGCACAATAATGCATCTTTAATAATGAAAAGTTATACAGTCTTGTTCTATAATGTTGGGTATATCAGACACTTGCTTTGTAGTTAGTACAAGAAAAAATACTGGATTCTGCTAAAGAGTACATAAGATTAGAAAAACGTAAGTTATACATGTTCATTCCATAATACTATAATCATAAATAAAATGGATAGTAATAGAAGTTTCAGATCCTAATGTTAAAAGTTTTGTAACAA